CCCCAGTCCTTCGTTTATCTCCAACCTCCGAATCTCCGTTTGTTGATCGATTAACCGCGCAGCCTCCTTCGTTGAGCCTGCATTACCACTCGCTCAGTTTTCCCTTTCGCGCTGATACTATCGCTGGACACCGCACAAATCTGACCGGAAAAAGAAAAAGGAGGCTTGTATTAGCATCATAATCGGATCGAGGTATCCTGGCCTGACGTGTTCATCTGGCTAGTCTTCAGCCCGCCGAGTTGTCCGTTGGTCTGCCTGCCTTCCACCTTCCTACTCAGCCATTGCTGCGTCGCCTTCCCAGCCCTCCCACGTCCCTTGTTGAACCATAAAGCCGGCCCCAATGCGTTAGAGCCGACCTCTTTGCACATGGTTTGAGCTCCTACAACGAGTCTCTACCCTTCTTCTCTTGTCCTCTCCCTGCCCTGTCTCTTTTTTCTCTTACATGGAGGAGCTGGTCTCATCCGACCTCGAGATAAGCAGTCATTCAACTTTCCGGACCGAGAGCAATGTGCACAGTCCTTGGATGATACCTCCTCGTGGACCTCTAGTACAGGATTGATTATACACTCGATCATGTCTTCTCTCGCTGTCGATATTCCGACCAATCCGATCGATGAAGAAAGCGCTTTCCTTTCTCGTGCCGCCAGTTACAACAACCTTTCACATATTCCGGTTACTGAACCTGGGTCCCCCGGCTTGCGGAGAACGTTTTCCGACCTGACGTTCCCAAATAATGATTCAGCCTCGCCGTCGAAGGAGGATGTGGCTGCGGGGAAGGACATTCTGCGACGGACCTCTTTACGCCGCAACAAGGAAAAGTCGGCCGTGGCAGTCTCTCGATTCACCCTGTCCGCCGAGGATCTGAATGACACCGCTACTTCCGAACCCTCCGGAGCGTCCGCGAAGCCTCCTGTCAAGTATCCAGAGACAAAAGCCCCAGAGCCCGTTGCTCGTCCCTCCAAGGCCCGTTCCATGTCCGGCAGACTGGTTAACCTGGCTCGAAAACCCTGGGGCTCTTCGGGCTCCCAGTCTCGATCCCCTTCGCCGTCTCCTAAGCCCTCCAAGAACCGAAATTCTCGCTCGGATGATCAGACACCTTCGAAATCGCAGGGTCTACCATCCAAATCCAACTCTCGATTGGAGTCACTGAAGGAAACCGACCCGGTCTTGCCTTCTCGCAAACGCACTATTCTGAGCAAACGCCCCAGGCGTCCAATGGTTGCAGTCGTAACTCAAAGCCAAGATGACAGTCCGAGCAGCAGTTCATCCCCTCATTCGTTACGGGCGAAGAATTCCTTGGAAAGACTTGCCGCATCTCTCCATGTGTCTACCCCGATTCTCCCTCCCATGCCCAAAGGAGCGGCTGTTACCGCTGGAAACTTCTCTGGAAATGTTGACCTTCCGCGAAAGAAAGATGAGCTATGGGGCGTGTTCCGTGGACTCGAAGCTGATTACCAGAAGTGAGTACATTCATACCCGGCGCCGATAAGAACCACTCCCTTTGGAGCTTCAGATGGCTAATTAAGCGACACAGATTCCATTCCAAGTCGAGTGCTCTAAAAGCAAACGTCATCCGTTCTTCACTGCTGCCCTTCTTGAATCGCAACCAATCAAGTGCCTCCTACAAGTCTCTGAGAGCTGAAGACCTCGACCGCCGCGTCAATATTCTCAACAAGTGGTGGACTGGGCTACTGGAGATGCTCAATGGCAAGAACAATCAATCCATTTCGGGTACTGACCGTCCAGTCTACCTCGAGGCGGTTGTCGGCATCATGATGCGGCCGGAATGGAGAATTCCCTTCCCAATGCCCCCGAACAGGGATGAGCCGCCCAATTCACTCCATCATGCTTCGACTTCGATATCGGAGAGCTCTGACTCCTCAGGCTCGGATTTCCTGATCGAGTCGATCCATCACAACATCAGGAATATCTTCGTACAGAATTTGCTGTCTCAGATGGCCTTCGTGGTGGAGAGAATGTCAATGAGGCATGCACCTGCGAGCTTGGTGGCATTTTGCGGAAAGGCCTGCGCGTACGCCTTCTTCTTCTGCCCGGGCGTCGCAGATATTCTAGTGCGCTTATGGAACACCCCCGCGAATATCTTCCGACGGATCCTTGCCGATTCTGGCGTAGAACGATGCAGGAACATTCGTGCTTTCACCCAGGATCTCGGGTTAAACTTTCCCAGCGCGCTCCGGACGCTATGCTTTCATTCCCACACGCCCCTCGTTCGATATCTTCGGCAAAAACCCGAAGTGCCTTTGAGTACAGCTCAGATACAATGGCAAAGCCCTTGGGTTTCGAGGTGGTGTGGTCGAGACTCAGATCTTTTCTTTGTCTTTGTCAAGTATATTCACATCCTCTATGCAGATGCTCTGCCGACAGATATAGAGAAACCAAAACGTATCCTGGCCCCGGGTCTGTTGCCAATCCACGCTCAGGTACTTGTAGTCATGGAGGACACACTCTACAAACAATCAAGTCCACAGATGCCTGAGAATACACACACCGCCGCAGCCATCACTTTTGATGACTTCATTGAGGGTGCCGATGCAACAGTTTCTGCTCTTCCTTTAGGCTCTGCGAACAGCCACCGCTCGATGGCTGAGAATCGCCTGATCATTCTTCTGCGTGATTTCTTGTCTGAATCTTCCCTCGAGCCTCAGCGCGCGCGGTTACTATATGCGGAGTCATTCTGCAACATCATGAAGACTGCTGCTCAGAAGACTTCTTTATTTGACCACAATGCATGCTTTTTGCTATGCGACTTCGTCGAAGAGGTCCTGCCCATCCTCACACGCTACTCTCAGACTGTGGATATGGAATTATTTGACTGGAAGTTTTGGCTGTCGGCTTGCCGCCGAATGATGCGGAGCCACAATTCTCTGACCGAAGTGAGAGTATTCTCCTTTCTCTTTTGCGTTTGGGGCAAGTGGATCACTTCCGAGGAAAGAAAAGCCGACCTCTGCTTGGACTTTCTGCTCGATGAATCCTTGTTCTATCACTATTTCAGTCACTGGAGCCCGATGGTGCGCGCATACTTTCAGCGTCTCCTATGTTGGCGACTGTGTAGGTTTAATGGGGAGCCATCGCCGCTCGACTCGTAAGTACAAGCCCTCTGGTATTCGTGCGTCTGCCTCGGTTTCGCTGACCTTCGACGTTATCTGTAGCACAATATACGAGACGCTCTGGAATCGGTTACAACGGGTTTGGTCTTACTATCGCGACTTTCAAACAAACGCCGAAAAGGAACTTAAAGCCCCTCTATCGTCTGCGCCATGTTCACCAGCGCCGGGGCGCCGAATCATCATTATACGGTGTGATAACCACATTGCGCCGCCGAGCCTCTTCGTCTCCTTCGATCGTGTCGTGCCGCCCGCTCCAACTGAACAGACGGCAGGCTCCAAGGGCGACGATTTCTCCGAGTATCAGGCACCTCCGAAGAGAAGGTGGAATCTTCTGAAGGCGATGTTTGGCGGTTCTTCCAGCATCAGAAATAATGACGATGCATCGCCTCCGAGCACTAGTTCGGAAGAGTCGGATTCAAGGAGCCACGATACCATGAACAGTACAGAGAAGAACTCGGACGACCATCTGCGACCGCAGAATAGCACTGGGGAGACTAGTCGGCCGAAGACGCCACATCAGCCATATTCTTTCAGGTTCTCGCTGGAATGGATGGACCGGCCGCAATGGCCGAGCAAGAATAAGCGTCTCTACGGTCCCTGCCTTCCTGTAGGAGCCCAGCTGCATTTGCAGCTCCGAGGATACTTGGACAGACCGGTTGATGACTCGTCGGAATATGCCTCTGCAATTGATTTGGATGAAAGCGCCAAGACTGACAGTCGTCTTGAGGATGCGGCGTCAAACAAAGGGACACAAGGGCCAGTACAGCGTGCTGCGGACGGCGAGAAGACCCTTGACCCAAGAAATACTCAGTGCCTGGCGAAGGACGGGGTCGTAGCCAGCAAGTATGCAGGCCGAGCCCTCGCCGAATGGGCACAAATTGTCACTGAGTGCGACAGTTTCTTTGCCAGAAGGCGCGACGAGGGTGTCCCTTGCGACCGGATGGTGGAGACTCCAATGCTGGGCGTTGAAGGCTTCCGCAAGTGAGGCAGCCATCGCACTTCTGGCCGTTTGCAGCAATTTTGGTCCATCTTTTCATCCTCTAATAATAATCTCCCCTGCCCTAATCAATGGCTTCGGGGTCAAGACCTCCTTTCTCGTGCCCTCTCTTTCTCAACCCAGGGTTCTCCCAAAGAACCACTGAGACTTTGCAAACAAAGCGAGTTCTACTAATGATGATCTTTCATTTTCCCTTTTTTTCCCTTGGCATTGGGACTGTATATATACCAATGGGATAATACATACTACAGGCGTTTGGGGGACTGGATTTCATTTTCTTTGTGGGTTGGTTTGGGTTGATCCTCTAGACGGTGGGGTTCTTTTCAATGGCATATTCGATTTTCTTTCCTTTTTGCGACTTCAGTCATATCACAGCTGTCCCATACACAAGATGAATTAATCTCATCTACTCAATCCATAGGCCCTTGGAAGCCAATACTTCACATTTTCATTCTTTCTATCGATTGGTCAAAAGGTGGAACCGCGGCAAAACTAAAATATTCGAGACTTGTCTTCAGAGGCTAACAAGAATGCTAAATGAAGACGGAGGTATGTACAAAAAAGGCTAAAGGAAGCCAAAAGCAGTTTTCTCTCCCCAGAATGGAGGAGAAAGGATATAGTAAGAAAATACGGAATAATGAGAGGTTCAATTCGCTAGATCTGATATACTTTGTTCCGTCGCGATGAGATGCAGAGGAGCCTGGATCAGGCAGGGTGTGTATGTTCGTGTATGTACGTGCTGATGCACAGATGATGAGAAGTATACATAGATTTGAGAGACTGAGGTTGCGGAGGTATGTATATGTTGATGGATGGAAGAGTAGGACTGATTTCTGCGAGGTTGATAGTTCTGAGGTTGATGTGTAGGGAGGAGTCTAATGGTGCACGAGACTGTTGCTTGCGCGCTGAATGATCTTGGCGACTCGGTCAATCCATTCCTGGGTTAGAGTCCAGTTGCCCGAGTCGATGCTATCGCGGATGGCGGGAAAGACGGCGGCGTCGTAGCCGGACCACAGCTGGGGGCCGAAGATGACATGTTTGAACTGCGTGCGGTTGGGGATCTGATGGATATTGTCAGTGTCGGGGACGCTAGAGATGTATAATGGAAGGGTACTTACTCCGCCGTCATGATCTAGATCCAGAAGTTGGGTGTCAAAACTGGCCAAGCGAGAGTTATGCTTCAGTCGCTGGATGGCCATTACGTTGTTTTCGAACCCGCCGGCGCCCCAGACAGTGTCGTGCCATAACTGGGCCCATTGGTCAAATTCTCCTGCGTCGCTTTTGAACTTGGACGCGGCGTCAAAGAGGGGTTGGAAGCTGACGGACGGTTCTCCGACGGCGCGGTCCTCTAAAAGCTGGGGGGCAACCGGGACGTTCTTTGACTTGGCGTAGGCTACCAGATCGGTAACATAGGTATGCACATGGTCGGCGTACACTTGCAAATCGAACTGTAAGATAGGGTTATCCGCAAGGTCAATCAGGAGCAAAGCCCAGAATTGGCCTAGAGCCTTGTGGTATTGGAACCCAGGATCTCCGAACTTGGTCATCCAGTCATAGTTCTCGTAACAGCTGTGATAGGGGAAACGCTCGCCAGTGAATCCAAAGTCCACACTTGAGGTGCCAGCAATATCCTGGAACGCTACATAATCACTCCCAGAACCAAGAGGGCCGAACTTCTTCTGCGCTTTCTCCCAGATGTCCTTGAGTGTCTCGTTCGTAATGGGATCCGCAATGCGGCCGAGGATCTGCATCACAATCCGCTGAAATAACGGAGATCCGGAGGCATCAAAGTTATTGCCAGTCACCCCAACGTCAACGTTCAGGTAAGCAAATGCATTCTCTCGCAGTGCTTCAATCGCTTTTTCCACATGCTCCGTTGAACCGATCATATTGTATTCTTCTGCGTCCCAGCTGACGAACTCAATGGTCCTCAGCGGTCGCCATCCGAACGTCCGAAGTTCACCAAAGACGCGAACAAGCTCTAAGAAGACCGCAGTGCCACTGCCTGGGTCCGCACTGCCAAGACACCATGAGTCGCGGTGGTTGCCCACGATAATCTTCTTTTCAGGCTGTTCCAATCCAATGATGCGCCCAATGACATTGTATATAGGCTGTCGTTCCACTTCGTCCAGAATATTCATCAGGTTCACTTTTGGGGAACCTCCGTCTCCCGTCCACCATTCCTTCACGTCGGGAACACCTCCAACCCACTCCTTGGGTACCTCTGTACCATGACCCTTGAGAACCTGCAAGAGTCTCTGAGCATCGCGCCAGGCGATCGGCATACTTGGTATACCCGGCAATCCCGGGCTTTCTTCGACCGAAAGTCGTTTCTTCTCCTCAGGGGTAGACGCAAACCCCGGGGAAAGTACATCCCCAACAACCCATGACATCAGGCTTACTGCGCCCCTTTGGACGCCATCATCCGGCATAAAGCGTCCGTCTGGAAAAGCGGGACCCCGCCGAAACCCATCTTCATGCGGGTCGGAGTAGATGATACATCCGACAGCGCCAGCCATCTCCGCAAGCTTGACCTTCAGGGCACGATCTGTCTCGGACCCATAGTATCGGACAAGTGCGATAGCGCCTTGCATGTCAATTCCGTGGTCCGCTAGGAGCTGAAAATCTTCTCGGGAACCGTAGTTTACATAGACCAAATGGCCGGTCACATTTCCCGATTTTGAATGTCCATGGAAAACCATAGTCTGTTCGTTCTTCTCTTCGAGCGCAGCCTCCCAGGCCATGCCGGGCGGATCAACGATCGCCACCCTCCTTCCGCCTTCGTTGGGATAGTTGAGGTACACTTGAAATTCCTCCATTTCGATTTCATCGAGCGCTGCATTTTTGAATTCCTGTTCAATCCATTCTGCCAGCGCAAAGCTGCCCTCGGTACCAGCCATATGAGGAAACTTTGTCACCTTTCTCAAATTATCCGCGATGTTTGTCTCATTGATGTGGCCCTGAAGGAAATTCTGCACCGACGCAGCGCTATACGACTGACCCATCATGAATCGAGAATTCAGATTGAAGAGGTTCGAAAAGAAGAACACGTATACAAGAGTGACTACCAATAGTAGTCCAAACACCCGTAGCAGGATAATGCAGCTATGGTCTTGGAAGCGTTGACGGGCTCCATCGAGGTTAATTGTGAATCGGAAGTTTGGTAGGAAGCGGCGAAAAGGGAATTGTATAGCAGAAAGGGTCCGACTCAGGCTGTTGAATCGTTTCGAGAAATGCTGCCCCAGTCGGGACCGTCGAGATGACGATTGCACCCCTGCTTCCTCCACATCCATCTGAGCGAGTTCCCGCTGCAAGTCCTCGAGCGACCCCCGAGCGGAATCGGTTCCCGAGGACGCAAGATCGTCCAGGCTGTTACGGACGGACTCGACCGTTGGCGGTTGGTATCCATGAGGCCGAGATCGTGGGCCGCCGGGACCACTGGTATTGTCGGCATTATGTAGCAAGCCCTGTCGTTCCGCATCGTCGCTGGCTTCATCGGGGCCTAGATGAGATCGAGAGGAGCTTGGACGGGAGGAAATAGCTTCTTCGTAAGTTGGAATGGGAAGTGATTCGTATTCGAATTTCTTATCGTTGCCCATGGCGGAATGGATGTGGCTCGGGGGAGCCGTAGAAGTTAGACAGCGTCACGGATGCCGGAGTAAGCGGGATCATGATCTGGATGAGGAAGGAGCGGCAATGAGCGACATACTCCCTGTGTTTGGGGGAGATTAAATTGAAACTATTAGAAACAAAGAAAAAACCGATGAAAACGAAGATCTACAGACGAGAGAGTGGATGAAGTTTGGATGTAGACCAGATAGTCTCTCACGGGAAAAGGAGTGAGACTGACTGGCTTCCCCGGATGGATAGTCAGACGTGTGGCGCAGGCGTCAGAGGCAGAGATATACATAGTACGAGAGAGCCAAGAGACCCACGCTCCGCTTTCAACGTCGTACTCGTAAACAGGCAGAAAGGTTTTGATTGGAAGCATTCGAGTGAGTGCTGAGGAATAAGTTTGAATATCAATTTTCTGTCGAGGAAGATATACCAACTTCCTGTGAACGTTATCGACGTTGACTTTGCTCTTTCTTGGATGGCAATACAACAGCAATATTTCAGGACAGCATCAAACAGCTGCTCAGGTACCTGTATTCTGCCTTCTGTCACCGCCTGTCATATGGTGTTGTGCCAACTCTTGAGCACGCTCGATCGATCATGGCTTCGATTATTTCCATGGTGGGAGATTTGAGAGTTTGGTTGAAAGAGTATACCACGCTGCTTATACTATGTAATATACTGTGCGGCATTTGATGGTTGCCGTATACGACATTGTCTACTTGTGCAGGGCGGAACCTACCATGGTTTATATATTCCACGAACAAAAGAAGCAGCCTGGTCATTCTGTTAGTTAATTCTACATCTACTAGCGGACTATCCATATATAGAGAGGGAAGTTTAGAGATCTAGATTTACCCTCTACTTCATTAGTTAGAGCTAGGTCGACGCATCTGCCACAAGCTCACTCTTGAAGAAATAATACCATACGGATCAGAAAAGTCTGACCACTTCCCCAAGTAGATTACAACCCAATGAGCTATGGCGGTGTCACGGGGCTGCAAGGCCGAGGGGTTTGGTAGCATATAAGCATGTTCTAGGGCTGATGGTTTCATGCGGAATCACCATTGGAACCTTTCGGTTAAGGTGTTGGACTAGTGCTGCCTAAAACACTACTTCTCTAGCCAGGTACATCCAGTATAGGTTCTTATAGACTGGAGAGTAATCAGTAAGCACATCAGTAGCACCTCGTCTTCTCCCAAGGAAACCTTCTTGGAGTGCTCAATTGGGGCGGGTGCAGCATTATGTCGACGTTTCTGAAGGGGACCTATGGTACCTGCGAGATGACGTTTTAGAGGGGACTCTTGACCACGAGATACTGTGTTATGTTAGCGCACGAAGGGAAGGATGAGAACTCGGTGGTGACGCCATATGTGTCACGGTGCCTGGATAGTGGTTTGGTGCTGGACCTTTGGTGAAACCCGAATCCACTTCACATCGTCAAGGACAAGTGCAGACCTCCACTTGATTTTCTGTCTCGAAAGTGGAAATCTGGCAGATGGAGTCGCATAGTCGAGACTCGAAGTTAGAGAGCATACTCCGTAGGCCCACAAGATAAGATTGATAAATCTCTTGATTCTCTTCTGGATTTCTAGGAAAATTGGGATACTTGTCATCCGAGCCAAGCGGTCAGTATGTAGATTTCCGATGTCGCAGCTGAGACGATGGAAGTAATGGGTAGATAGTAACAGATGAGTGAAGGAGACAAATGAGATCGACCTCTTATCAAGACTGTCTATCTAAGGTAGGTAGTCCCCAGGCTTGGCAGGGAACGCAATCTTACATTATTAGGCAGCTAGATGTGCGTCTAGCCACCAGCATCTACAGAACAGAACGCTGACAATATGGAGCTGAAATGGACAATCATCGAGAGTAGAACCTCCGAGACTCTATGGGAATGGAACGAGTGACAGATTATGGAGTATGGACTGGACTAACGGGGACTAAAAATCTACGATCTCCTGCGATCACCAGCAGGCCAAGTCATGCAACACATCAGGAATATTATTATTTCTGGCCAATTACTGAAAATCAGGATTGTAATTGCTGGCGTAATGGAATTGAGACAACAAAAATTCGTCCCACTTGGTTCCGCAGAACCATGAGCATGACTGTTGGGAGATTAAGCTGTGCTCTATTGTGCTGCGAAAACATCAGTACACTACTCCTCGGCTGGACCAGTCCTTGCTCACCACTGCATGGTCAAACCCAATAGTAATAGTTGAAGATGATACCAGAGATTTCATTGAAAAGGGTCAACTGACCAGAAATACTCATTGAGAAATTAAATTTGTAACTGCAGGAGTCGGTGTGTGAGTGTGTACGTCGCTGTCCATCCTCTTGAAAGCATGCAGATGGAGTATAGGAATACTGGACGCAATATCATCAACCAGCAAAGAGACTGATGACAAGCATCTGGGATCATTGAGCTAGCGGGAAGCCTCAGCTCCATTTCTTACCCCTTTTTTTTCGAATCTTTTTCCACGCTCACACCTTCCGTTCGCAATGTACTGTCATCCATCGAGAATTGTCGTAGACGTCGACTCTGCATACATACTGCTGTCTGTACGTGTATACTAATGTTTTGCCGTGCCTTACCAAAATCGCAGTTTCCACTCTGATTCGCTGAGTCAGGGCCCAGCTACCTAGAGAGGTATCTGGAAGCCTAAGGCACCAGTTGGTAATTTCCATAAGTAGGAGTGGACCCACAGCACCAAACCCAGATAGGCTTAGTAACGGAAGAGGGCCCCATTTGGAACGAATCTTTTTTGGTTTTGCCTCTGAGAAAATGGAATAGAAATCCCCTCGACAGGAGGAGGGGGTTTAGGAGGGAGAAGCAGGTAAGACGATTCGGGCAATCAGTCGGCCATTGCTTCTTTCTCTCGTCCTACCTACTGCTTTAAAGGTACACCCGGCCCTCCCTCCTTCTCTTCCTTCTGTTTCTCCTCCAAGCTTCACCGTCTTCGCAATCGTTGTCTGCTTCCTTTTTGTGCGTGAGAGACTGCCTCTTTAAGTGTTTACCTTTACCTTCCTTCCTTCATACATAATATTTTCAATTTGCACCCCCACCGCCACCATGTCTGCTCGTCCCCAGAATGTTGGTATCAAGGCCATTGAGGTCTACTTCCCCAGTCAGGTATGTTGGTCTACTTCCTTTGCACTTTGTCCTGTCCAACATCTCCAGTTCACAGCAGTGCTGATGGCATGTCCAGTGTGTCGACCAGGCGGAGTTGGAGAAGTTCGATGGAGTGAGTGAGGGAAAGTACACAATTGGTCTGGGACAGACCAAGATGAGCTTCTGTGATGACCGTGAGGGTATGATTATCCCACTTCCCTGTTCCTCGTACACACGGAATGTTAACTTTCCACCTCCCCAGACATCTACTCCATTGCTCTGACCACCTGCTCCTCCCTCCTTCGCAAGTACAACATCGACCCCAAGTCTATCGGTCGTCTTGAGGTCGGCACAGAGACCCTTCTTGACAAGTCCAAGTCGGTCAAGTCGGTGCTGATGCAGCTGTTTGCTCCTCATGGAAATACCAACATTGAGGGTGTCGATACCGTCAATGCTTGCTATGGTGGTACCAACGCTGTATTCAACAGCATCAACTGGGTTGAGTCTTCTGCCTGGGATGGCAGAGATGCCATTGTTGTCTGCGGAGACATTGCCCTCTACGCCAAGGGAGCTGCCCGCCCCACTGGTGGTGCTGGTGCCGTTGCCATGCTGATCGGCCCTGATGCCCCTATTGTGTTCGAGCCTGGTCTCCGTGGCAGTTACGTCACCCACGCTTATGATTTCTTCAAGCCCGACCTCACTAGCGAATACCCCGTCGTTGATGGCCATTTCTCGCTCAAGTGCTATACCGAGGCTGTTGATGCTTGCTACAAGGCCTATTCCACTCGTGAAAAGGTGCTCAAGGCCAAGGTTCAGAATGGCACCAACGGAGTTGAGAACGATGTGACCAAGACTCCCCTTGAACGCTTTGACTATATCCTGTTCCACGCCCCTACCTGCAAGCTGGTGCAGAAGTCCTATGGCCGCATGCTCTACAATGACTACCTCGCCAACCCCAGCCACCCCGCCTTTGCCGAAGTGCCTTCTGAACTGCGTGACTTGGATTATGAGAAGTCTTTCACCGACAAGACCGTCGAGAAGACCTTCATGGGTCTGACCAAGAAGACTTTCGCTGAGCGTGTGCGTCCCGGTCTCGACGTTGCCACCCTCTGTGGTAACATGTACACGGCCACTGTCTATGCCGGTCTGGCCAGCTTGCTCAGCAACGTCACCTTCGATCCCAGCCAGCCCAAGCGCGTTGCTCTCTTCTCGTACGGCAGTGGCCTCGCCAGCTCCATGTTCAGTGTCAAGATTGTTGGCGATGTCTCTGGTATGGTTGAGAAGCTTGACTTGCACAAGCGCCTCAACGCCAGAACCGTCCTACCTCCTCAGGCTTATGATGACGTAAGAAACAATGTTTTTTCCTTTTAATGGCCAGATTGACTAACCTCAATCTGCAGATGTGCAACCTGCGTGAGCACGCCCACTTGAAGAAGAACTTCAAGCCTACCGGCAACCCCGACACGCTCTTCCCCGGTACATACTACCTGACCGAGATTGACGACATGTTCCGACGAAAGTATGAGATCAAGGCATAGATTGTTGCCAAAACTTGATGCAATTTTTTTTCCCTTTCCTCCTTTGGACATGATCAGACTTTTAGACGGTTTATTAGATTCCCTCGAGCATCACCTTGTTTAGTCACAGCGCCTCGATAGAGTCCTGCAGCAGCTTGCCGTGCTGGTTCTCACTTTGATACCTTTTTTTGGGCTTTTTCTTTTCAGAAGCGAAGGGAAATGGTTATATTATCCAGATTCGTTTTATCCCAAACAGCACTCGGAATGGGGTTCATGAACAGATCAAATGGCGTGATTTGGCTGCTCTGTTGCTGTTGATATTAATATTTTAATTGAGCTATATGACTTCTCAAATACCACGATTTATCCTGATGACAGTTTACATGGCCTTGTAGTAACGTTGCTTGGTATTCTAAAACTGATACCATTAGGGTTTCTTCGCAACCCATGAGTCACGTGATGTGTTTCTCGTCTAAGCATTCGTTTCCAAGTTCAATATACCAAAGTAGCGCATAGTCATGATGTTCTGTCGACACGGGATTTGTTGGCAAACACGAAACATGTCAGCCAGTGCGGAAACGACCGGCTAAACCCGCTGATTTCATGTTCGGCTTGTACTGACTTCAGAGCATCCAAGCATCCCAGTAAGCCAGTAAGCGGGCGAGCCATCAAACCGCACCTCACTCACTCACTCACTCTCCCCTCTTACACCTGCGTTCCTCTCATCCAATCTCAAAATGCAGCCTGAATTGTATTTATTTTTCTTTTCAATGGCAACTGATTCGCCGACTGCAGAAGGCGTCATGTCAATTAAACTGCACATCGCCAGGGATGAGCCACTCAGCGAGCTTGACGCCGGCCTTGAAGGATGGCCCGGCGGCTACTGCAACCACTTCAAATGCTCGTGTATACCGGCATCCGTTCAACTGGAGTATTCTTAGAAATGGAAGATCTGAAATCAGGACACTTTGATTTCACTCGTTGAGGCCCTCTGGTCTTCTCTGCGTGCCACAAACAGTCGTTTCCGTTGCAATTGCTGCTTATGGGCGCTTCGATCTCTGAAGAGTCGTGCGTCTCAACGAGCCACGCACCCCGAAGGTATCACCAGGTGTATCTGGCTATACATCTGCTTGCCGCCGACTGATGAGTACCCAGGCGTTACGCTCATCGCTCCGCGACAAATTCCCATCAATTTGGCTACAATTACCCAGAAATAGCACGAAACACAAGTGTTGCCGATTTTAGATCGTGTCCCATGAGGCCTTCGAGCCATACCCTGAAGGGAAGGTCTGAGGATCTTGTCCAGATCCTGAAGAAATCGAGCAGATGCAAAAATTAGCAACATTTTAACGCGCGACTGCTACATGAAACACTCATGCTTGCCTTGTTTGCCCATGGTCTCGTCTGTTTCGCGCATCTTCCCAGAGATAATCGGCAGATCATGCCTCGAGACCCTCGCTTCTACAGTTCTCAACACCCAGAATGGCTAGTTCACTGGCGTCAATCTGGAGCCTCCTCCATGTTTCAGGTTATTCTATTCTGGATCTGTCTATCGTATGCTTTTTTTGGCCCTGGGTCGGATGGCTTCTCTACGAAGAGCATTTAATATCCAAACGTTCTCCGTCCTGATGCCTCCAGAACTCATCATTGTCGCTCATATAAAACATGATTCAACAGTGCTAGCGTTTCAATTGGAACATCTCGACACCCTCGCTTCTATCTTTTTTTATCAGCTCGTTGGTGGACATTGCTCTTTGACGACTCGCAGGAAGCTGGTTCTTCCGGATAGCTACTCGCTGATCATTCGTTGTGAAAGAAAGAATCGTGATTGAGTTCTACTGTGACTCAGATATTGACGTCATGTCCCTAGACTATTCTTATTATCGACCAACGACACCACCGCGAATGCAATTGATGGAGCTCATTGGAGCCACCCACAGCCGCAATGCGTCCGATTCATCCATCTACTCCAATGATTCCTCACCGTGGTCGGCCATGACCGCTGAAACCAGTCCGAGAGAAGCCTCTCCTCCCAGATACCAGCACGGCCCTGCTCTGCTGCCGAAAATCAGGTCGCAGGATGTGGTGATTGAGCCTGCACCCGCCCCTGGACCACAGCGCCATCGTCGAGTTTTGTCAAATACTCGGAACCCTCCAGGCTTCCTACCTTATCCTCCCAGGCGTCCAGACCTTCAGCGGAATGTCTTAGAAATGGCGGATTGTCTTCCTCTGGTGTCGCCAGCTACAACCTCGCCCATGTATGGTTCTCACTACGGCTCCGCACTGTCATCCCCTGTGAGCATTACGCCGTCGCATAAGCGCAAAGTTTCGGGCGGGCATTCTCGATCAGGTTCTGTTTCCAGTATTGACGAAGCGACCCTGAGTCGATACGGCTATCCAACCTATCGGCATCTTCCAAAGTACACCACACAAGCGCACCCTTCGCCATCCGCTCCAGTCACCCCTGTGACACCAAACATTGTGGTCCATCGGTCATACTCTCAGACCTCACCCAATGACAACTCTCCGTCCCCGGTCCAGTGTCAGACTCAGACGCCACTTGTCCTTCCACCCTCCCCATACGTGGGGTACGCTCGGATTCCGAGTGCACAGCCTTCGCCTGTTGGCCTTGCGCCTCATGCGGAGGAGATGGTGCCGCAGTCGACTACCTTGCTGTCCTACCTGACTTCCTCCACGCAAGCGATCAATCTCGTTCGTAATGTCAGTGTGGTTCCCACACGAGGAATGCACGACTATTTCTGGTGGGACATTAGGAACCTGCGTAGCTGGACGTCGTTCACGCTTCAGACGTTTAACTCGATCAACGGCCTCACCAAACTTCTGAGAACTGCAATCTCCTCCGACTTGACTCCGCCCGTCGTGGTAGCCCCGTCTCGCTTGTCTCCGGACTCTGAAGCCGCGTTGGTTAATCTTATACGAGACATCTATGGACCGCGCGTCAATGCCGCGCTCGCTGTATCCCAAGGACCAGAGCATCTAAAACTCTACCCGGCGCCTCACCTACGGGCTTCAAACAGCAAAAATACAGGTGGACCACACTTCCTTGCCAACTATGCATCTGATACCGAACAAACCAGTTCCGGTATGCCACGGGGACGGCTCGTCGGTATCGTAAAGAGCTTTGACCGCTGGAACACGGGCATGCGCAACGAAGCGCCTCACCGGCGGGTGGAGTACCTCAACGGTCTAGCCCATCTACAACGATGCATGCGAGAGCACTCATGCCGGTACGGCTTCATCATCACTGAGATTGAACTCGTTTGTGTGCGCGCGGGGTGCGACGAAGGCGACGACGTGCCGTATTTTGGATTCCTGGAGGTGTCGGCGCCAATCCCGACTAACATCGCCGTGAGTCCGGAAGAACTGGGGCTGCAGCCAGCTTCTTTTGCCCAGGCACAGTCACCTGAGGCTTCTCACGACTGCCAATCAGCTGCAACAGAGTGCGACCACACATCAAGTTTCGCAGACGGTCTCAACGTCCCGATGACTGCGAGCCTGGCCTTGTACTTCCTGCTAATGCTGTCCAAATCGGTGCCCTTGCCATCGCAGCCCTCTGCTCACCTCAACGTGGGCGGACCTGGAGCACTGACCCGCCAGCGGATTCTCCCAGAGGGGAAAGATAAATGGATTCCGGAACCGCAGATCGGAGAGCGACGAGACGCAAAGCGAGTTCGAGGATGGGTGTGGCCTCAAGACGCCTGGCATCGCCGTGAGGGCGGAGGTGTGCCGCGGAACAGGGCAAACGCAGCCGGGGAATCGAAGCAGAAGAAATGGCACAAGTAATGTCTTATTTAGATATTTGTATTTAAGCATTATTGTCATAGTAATCTAATCTCTATTTGATACTTTTGAGCAAATTGAGCATATGGGTTGGCGCTGATAGTATTCAGAATCGGTCAGCTCTGCCCGATCGACAACGAAACCCAGCAAAGGTATCATTCCAACGAAATTATCAAAATGCAAGAAGTCATTGAACGACAGCTACGCCATAAGTGGGACTGCGTGCCCACATTTCCAATCGATCATGCCTGTATTCGCGGTGAGAGGTCGCTTATCTCCCCCAGGGTCCCCAGCAGCGCTGCACATCATCAACTCCAGCAAGATCAGACAAGGACCTTGGGAACCAAGTACCTCCTGGGTTATGGCAAAAACCATCGGTATATATCACGGCGTACTGCGAATAGCAGCCAGCACCATGGCATTCCCTTGCATTGCTATCTTGTCACAAGCAGCATTGCGTCACCGACATTCATCTACCATACCCAACCCAGCCTAACACAATGAGCAAGACGCAGCCTCCCTCCTCCTTGCCCATACCCCTCCCAACCCTCCACGATGTAATCATCATCGGCGCCGGACCCTGCGGCCTCGCTGTCGCCGCGCGACTAAACGAGCAAACCCCCTCCGCCATGTTCACCGACGAGGAACACCAGCGCTACCACTGGATCAACAAGCATAGTGGACGGATGACGCTCGTGCAGGCTCACGGGAAGAAAATTAATGCCGTCAAGGCGGAGAAGTGGCAGAGTTACGACAAGCGGCAGCGTCAGCGTCAGGGTCGACGGTCAAGTTCTTCATCTACAGCCTCGGATAGCTCCAGGGCTGGATCTATCTCATCCCCGCCGTCACTGTCTTCGAGTCCGTCGTCAGTGGACGGGCAGGGGATGGGCAGGAAGGGAGGAATCTCGATGGTGGTGCTGGACGGGACTGCTGCAGGGTGGATGGAGCGGTGGCACCGGGCGTTCAAGACGCTTGAGATTGCGCAGCTGCGTAGCCCGATGTTCTTCCATGTGGATCCGGCGGACCGGGACGGGATGCTGGCGTATACACAGGAGACGGGGCGGGAGAAGGATCTGTGGGAGATTCCGGGGTGTGTAGGGAAGGAGGTGAGCAAGCATAAGAAAAAGAAGAGGTTGCGGGGGAAGCCTGCGTAAGTGTGTTTCTCACTAGCTGCCGTGTTAGGGAGGGTTGCTAAGAGCGTTGATTGCAGGGCGTTTGGCGAGGTGGAGATTGATGAACGAGATCGAAAGGATTACTTCTCGCCGTCGACGAGGCTCTTTGCGGACTACTGTGCTAGTATCATTGAGCGGTATGGGCTGGACGCACCTGGTCTGGTTCTCCAGAATGAGGTAGATGATATCCGTTATGGCTTTCATGAGCAGATCTCGCCTGCCGAGAAGATCTTTACAGTGACTGCCAGTGACGGGAGGAAGTTTTACAGCCGGGCTGCGGTGCTGGCTATCGGGCCGGGCAAGACGAAGGTCTTCCCGTTTGATATGTCTGCCGAGGAAATAATGGGTGCTTGCCATAGCAGCGAGATCCAGACATTTCCTAGTCCTAATGTGAAGAGGAAACTACAGCAGAGACAGGAGACGAACGTCGCCGTCGTCGGTGGAGGGCTGTCGTCTGCACAGATTGTCGACATGGCTGTTCGAAAGGGTGTCACCAAGGTGTGGTTTCTCATGCGGTCAGATCTCAAGGGTAAGTCAGATACATGTAGTCGTGATAATCTAGAGTGCCTGCTAACGAGAGTAGTGAAACACTTCGACATCAGTCTGCCTTGGATGGGCAAGTTCCGAAACTTTGAGAAAGCAGCATTCTGGGGCGCAGACACCGACGAAGGTCTGTCTCTTATTTCTCACCTGACGCCTTGCACTAACACCAAGTAGAACGGCTTGAGATGATCAAAATAGCGCGTAACGGCGGCAGCATGACGCCCCGCTATCAGAAAATTGTAAAGCACCACGCAGCCCGCAACAAAGTCTCTATCCATACGCGCACCGTCATCCGCAGCAAGGAGTACTGCCCCTCGTCGCAGACATGGCGTCTCACCACAGACCCTCCCATTCCGGACCTCCCCCCAATCGACTACATCTACTGCGCAACAGGCATGAAGTGCGACGTCCAGGAGCTCCCGCTCTTGGACCAAATGCACCGCGACTACCCTATCGAGACTAAGCAAGGGCTCCCGTGCATCACAGACGACCTCATGTGGCGTGCTGATGTGCCTCTGTTCGTGACAGGGAGGCTGGCTTCGCTGCGTATCGGCCCTGGGGCGGCGAACCTTGAAGGAGCACGGCTGGGGGCTGAGAGGATTGCGTGGGCCATGGAGGAGGTGCTAGGCAGGAAGGAGGCGGAGGATGATGAGGTGGGACGCTCCAGGGAGTGTTTCTGTGGGCTGGGGAACAGATATGCTGAGTTGTTGACCGAGGGAGAATTCGATTGGGAGGAATAGACTAGCAGTCGTTGCAGTCTCCACATAGGCCAGATTGTATTCCATCGTACCGGCTCAGACAGCAATCAGTGAATGATGCGGGTACCCTGCTGACGGTAAAACTACGCGGACAGACCTGGTGATTGTGGCTATGGAGAGATGACCAAGACACTAGATCTTTGTAGGCACAGGCTGCAAATAAGCTTATGGCGAGCAGGCATGTAAGATCCCAAATATGCCTCTGCAGTTGCCTAAGCTGGCAAAGTGTGTATAATTGAACTTGTGTATGCCTAGACTGGGTAGTACGTGCTCTCATCATGGTGTTGAAGAAGTATGTAATACCCATACAAAAGTTACACTGCACAGCTTTCCTGCCGCAGCGGCCTTTTGTAATATATGACAATACATTACGACGCCCATGATAATGATGCTGCCTACAGCCAGGGGACTTTCTGCCTCGCTGCTTTCTCCATCGTTATTCTTCCAACTACCTTTCTCCTTACAGTTAACCATTACCCTTGTCAACCATCCAACAAGCTTAAACCAAACTTCTAAGCCTCACCTAGTCTCAATGAGGCTCATCGCTCGTGGTAACTACCCTGGAACGAATACGACCACAAGCTCCGACCAGTGGCACTCGCCACAAACGCCACAACTGCGCCACATCATTTCCCCTGGTCCCATCATCGCAAGCCCAGCTGAGATTGTGAGCTTTCGCCTCCGCGCGGGCTCCTGACCCTCTCAATGGAGTCTCGACAGTTCAAAGAGATATGCCGAAAGTTCTGATATGTGGCGCAGCACCACAGATGTGGCTGCGTCCTCGGCAGAGCATCCTGTGGCTTGCCTCTCAAACGTTGACGACGGAGTTGACAATCACATGGTTTCTGAGGAAACCCGGTTGACCTTCCTCTCAGTCAACAAAGCTCTGACTGGATGACTGGACGGAGCGGTATGCCCTCCTAGGTGGTGATTTTCGCATCCACATACGCATGCCCAGATGCCTCTTCCGTACGCGCGGATCAAAAAGAAAAGTCTATTGTGATTTGCCTATCGGCCAAGCGAGGCGCAGCACCTTCGGCTCCAGACACTATGCAGGCGACAAACCTCACTGGCTACTCCAATAATCGCACACTGCTCAATCTGATGCGCGCGGCGGGTGAATTGCCATCCCGCCTCAGTTTGAATTTTGGTTCATACTGATATGAGCGCCTTGGTGGACCAGTCATATGCGAGGCCTCGCTCTTGTCCTGTCCCCCTCGCGCTTGGCCTTCGTTTGGGAATTGTTTTATAGGCGCCGTTGACGGGTCTATTCTCGTGCAACTGTTACGGAGTATGGGTGGGTTGATGAAGCCCCTGGCGTCTATACTGGTTGGCCTACTCGTCCGTTCGTCTGGACCTTGGATGAAATGGAGCGTTCCCAGTTTGGAGTTGATGATTTCATCTTTCTCGGAGGTACAGGCCCAGATGGCACTCCTCTTATTAAATATTATTGTCTTGGAATGCTCCGCACCGCAGGACAAGGAGGGCTGTGCTGAAGCCAAGCTCTTGGGCAAATTGTGCACGACAGCGCCGATACCTGGTCAAGTGAGGAGACAGAAATCCTTTCGAGCCTTCGGATTAGTGTATCTAGACTGTCTTAATTATGCTGTTTATTGTTTTTCACCTGCTCCAATCAGAAATGGCGTCGAATGATTTCTTGGTGTTTTTGGATAAATCATACCTTCATCTTACCAAGGCCGACTCAGCCACTCTCAAAGATCGATAAAACCCCGTCCGAACCGCTTACCTCTGCTCCTGCCTCTTCTCCTACTGTATTGATAAATGATAATTATCATTTTCGAATTATTCTACTAATTTAGAAAGCGTGTCGGTCTAATCATGCTGACACCAAACGGAAGCCATGATGACGGCCTCCTAAGCCCTCAGGCTAATATTCAAGATAGAGAGGTATGTGATCTGCCCCATCATTACATATGAGCGAGATTTGCTAACCATGAGCAAGCAACAGAGTCTTTCTTTGCAGTCATCAGAGCAGCCATCTTTGACGCTGGAGATTCCATCAACCGTAGATTCAAGTCGGTTGAGGGTCCAGAATGATCACCCTCGGTCGCCGAACTCGATAGACGGGGACACGCTTCGTCCCCGATCAGAATCATTCACTTCAGACGCAGAGACCGTCGCACGGTCCCGGGCAAACTCGGAATTCACCATATCGAAAGAAGCCTACGATGATGTACCTCTGTCCGAAGCGCTGACTCCGGATCCGCGCAATGAGCAGGATTTCCGGGTTGAGAACAACAAGTTCGCGTTCTCCCCGGGCCAGCTCAACAAGATGCTCAATCCCAAATCTCTCGCTGCGTTCCAGGCGCTCGGGGGACTGCGCGGGCTGGAAAAGGGTCTGCGGACCGACTTGACGTCTGGGCTATCCGAGGACGAGGCGCTCCTAGACGGTACGGTGGATTTTCAGGAAGCCACTTCTAGCGACCAGAAATTCTCAAAACAAATTTCGCACGGCGCACCGACGGCACCAGAACCAGCACCAGCATCAGGCGGCGGGTCAAGATTTCAGGACCGTATCCGCGTCTTCAGCCAGAATAAGCTGCCTGCGCGGAAATCGACGGGTTTCCTGAAGCTGCTGTGGTTCGCTTACAACGACAAGATTATCATTCTGCTTACAATAGCCGCTATCGTCTCGCTGTCCCTGGGTATCTACGAAACAGTCGATGAGGGGCATGGGGTGGACTGGATCGAAGGTGTCGCCATCTGCGTGGCTATTCTGATTGTAACTGTCGTGACTGCCGTGAATGACTGGCAAAAGGAGAGACAGTTTGCCAAGTTGAATAAAAGGGTAGGTGGAATGATCTCCGCGGTTTGTCTATTTGTTCTAACCATGTCACAGAATAGCGATCGGGAAGTCAAGGCTGTTCGCTCAGGCAAAGTGGCTATGATCTCCATCTTCGACATCACGGTCGGTGATGTGCTCCACTTGGAACCCGGCGACTCTGTTCCTGCAGACGGTATTCTCATCTCTGGTCACGGAATAAAATGTGACGAGTCCTCCGCCACTGGAGAATCGGACGCGATGAAGAAGACCAATGGACACGAGGTTTGGCAGCGCATTGTCAACGGAACCGCCACGAAGAAACTAGACCCATTCATGATCTCAGGCAGTAAAGTCCTTGAAGGAGTAGGGACTTACCTCGTGACCAGTGTTGGACCGTACTCGTCCTATGGCCGTATCTTGCTCTCTCTGCAAGAGTCGAACGATCCCACTCCTCTTCAGGTGAAGCTGGGAAGACTTGCCAACTGGATCGGATGGCTTGGCTCTAGGTAGGATAACCAGTTCAATATACAGGACTCATGCTAACCTTACTAGCGCTGCGATCATTTTGTTCTTCGCCTTGTTCTTCAGATTCGTTGCCCAACTGCCGAATAACCCTGCCAGTCCTGCGGTCAAAGGCAAGGAATTTGTCGATATTCTTATCGTTGCGGTCACGGTCATTGTTGTCGCGATTCCCGGTAAGACGCTCAAGAGCCCTTCAGTATGAATCAGCGTTTGGCTAATTCTCCTCAAGAGGGCCTTCCCCTGGCCGTAACACTAGCTCTTGCGTTTGCCACGACACGAATGGTCAAGGAAAACAATCTCGTCCGTGTCCTTCGTGCCTGCGAGACCATGGGCAATGCCACTGTTATCTGCTCCGACAAGACCGGTACTCTGACGCAAAACAAAATGACTGTCGTCGCTGGGACCTTTGGAACGCAAAAGAGCTTCAGTCAGGACAGAACGGAGGATGCCGAACCGTCAGACGACTCCACGACCGTGGCCGGGATCTTCAAGCAATGCTCAACTGCAGTACGCGACCTGATCATCAAGAGCATTGCGTTGAATTCCACCGCGTTCGAGGAAGAGAAGGAAGGGTCCAGAGAGTTTATCGGAAGTAAGACCGAGGTGGCAATGTTGCAAATGGCCAGAGACTATCTCGGCATGGACGTGACTACCGAACGTGGCTCTGCGGAACTTGTCCAGCTGATCCCCTTCGACTCCGCCCGCAAGTGTATGGGTGTGGTCTACTGTGAGCCCACGGTAGGCTATCGTCTCCTGGTCAAAGGGGCCGCCGAGATCATGGTCGGCGCATGCTCCTCGAAGGTCTCTAATCTTAGTTCGTCTTCGGATGATGTTATGGTCGACTTGTTCACCGAGACGGACCGCCAGAAGATGCTTGATACGATTGAGTCTTATGCTGTGAAGTCCCTGCGCACCATCGGTCTCGTGTACCGGGACTTCCCAAGCTGGCCTCCAAAGGATGCACAACGCGTGGAAGACGACCCGTCTGCTGCCAAGTTCGATGATGTCTTCTGTGATATGACTTGGCTTGGTGTTGTGGGTATCCAGGATCCCCTGAGACCCGAGGTCCCGGCTGCAATTGAAAAGTGCCGTATTGCTGGTGTGCAGGTGAAGATGGTCACTGGTGATAATATCGCAACGGCCACCGCCATCGCCCAATCCTGCGGAATAAAGACAGAGGATGGCACTGTCATGGAGGGTCCCAAATTCCGTCAGCTGTCAGACCAGGAGATGGATGAGGTCATTCCCCGCCTGCAAGTCCTGGCCCGTTCCTCGCCCGAAGACAAACGGATCTTGGTGGCACGGCTCAAGAAGCTGGGCGAAACCGTCGCTGTCACCGGCGACGGCACCAACGACGGACCAGCCTTGAAGACAGCTGATGTCGGTTTTTCAATGGGCATTGCAGGCACGGAGGTTGCCAAGGAGGCAAGCTCTATTATCCTCCTCGATGACAACTTTAGGTCTATTGTTACGGCAATCGCCTGGGGCAGAGCTGTCAACGATGCCGTGTCAAAGTTTCTCCAGTTCCAGATCACAGTCAACATTACTGCTGTCATCTTGACCTTTGTGTCGTCCCTCTACAGCAGTGACAATTCAAGTGTCTTGAATGCAGTTCAGCTGCTCTGGGTCAACCTGATCATGGACACCTTTGCCGCCCTCGCACTTGCAACTGACCCCCCGACAGAAAAGATTCTCCACCGCAAGCCCGTCCCCAAGAGTGCATCACTTTTCACTGTAATTATGTGGAAGATGATCATCGGACAGGCCATCTACCAGCTTGCCGTCACCTTTATGCTCTACTTCGCTGGCGACAAGCTTCTTGGAAGCCGCCTCGGCACCGGCGATCGTCAGTTGAAGCTCGACACTATCGTCTTCAACACATTTGTCTGGATGCAAATTTTCAATGAATTCAACAACCGAAGACTTGACAACAGGCTGAACATCTTCGAAGGCATGTTCCGGAACTACTTGTTCCTTGGAATCAACTGCATCATGGTCGGGGGTCAAGTAATGATCATCTACGTCGGAGGTGCGGCCTTTGGCGTGACTCGCCTGGACGCTGTTCAATGGGGTATTTGCATCGTCTGTGCCATTGCCTGTCTGCCATGGGCAGTGGTCTTGCGATTGACACCCGACCGACCTGTCGAGATTATCATCAACTTCGTCGTCCTAGTTGTGGGCGCCGCCTTGCGGCCAGTTGGCAAGGCCTTCAGCGCCATTTCGAGAACAGTCTCGTCTATGATGCGGCCTGTCCAGCGCTTCAGCCGTCGTGTCCTGCGTCGGAATGCGGAGGACGACGACTCCAAGACAGAGAAGGAGGAAGCGCCCTTGACAGACGTGGAGCAGCAGCATACGCCCAAGGTGCCTGCCACACCGGTAGTTGTGCCTCCCATTACAATTACGAGCTCTTAATGACTCTATACGAAAACTCGGCTTGTTTCCCAGTCGCTTCTGGCCGTGGGAGGGCCCACTTGAACTTTACATGATTTATGACGTTCCCTAGATATGTACATACGCATATACTTTGTAACGATGGGTTGGCTTACTCGTTTTCTGTTCTCATGCTCTACGTTTATCTGCATCATTTGTTGAGAGCAAATGACCGGCGTTGTTGGCTGCCTGACTGTCAAGCTTGAGCGTTCTCTGGCTTTGTGAAAGAAATTGTACGATAGTTAATCAGCATAAGGCATCATCTGGTTGCATCCCAAAGAATTGATAATTACCTTCACTTCATTCTTCGAGTAAATAGAAGACCAAGCTTGGATGGTGAAGACGTAAAGAGTAGAGTTTCTGCCTAAGGCTGCAGGATCCACCTCTCCGCACCGCCGCATCGTGCCCATCCTCAGCAGGCCTCCAAGTCAACCTGTCTCTTAGCTGTGCTGTCTCGCTCAATCCTTCCTCCCTGAATTTACAGTCATATAAGCAATTACTGCACGATTGTTTGCAATAGCTATCTGACCGGCACACTAACATAGCTCACTCCCCATCCTTCACATCACCGCACGTCATCTGGATTCCCCCGCTTCATTCCACCGACATTGAACCTTAGGCAGGGTATGTGACCTTCAATACTTCTCGCTAACAGACTAATACATTACTAACATTGCTATACAGCTCTTGTTTGTCATAATTACTGTGGAATTGTATTCCAAAAGAAAACTCGATCATCATCTCTCCATACCACCCCCCTATCCGAACAATCACAACAAAAGCAGCCATGGCCCAGCTAAACTACCGCACAATCAACATCGACGTGCTGGACCCCGAGTCCTCCGTCAACTTCCCCATGGAGACCCTCCTCCCTGCTACTCTCCCACCCCCGCAGACATCCTCCGACGCCGCCAACGTCGCTAGCCAAGTCCGCCAGTTGCTCCGCGGCGGCGACCCCGAGGGCGCCCTGCGGTACGTTCTCGACACGGCCCCGCTGGGCGGAGACGATCGCGCCAAGGAGGTGCACATGGCTACCGTTGTGGATGTGCTGCAGGGGATCCGCCAGGGGGAGATGACCCGCGTGCTGGAGGGGGTATGTAGCGGGGAGGGCGGATCGGAGAGGGCGGACTGTCTGATGAAGTATTTGTAGGTTGCCCATGCCCTGCCTTGCCTTGCGGACATTGAATACTGTCGGGAGGGAGAATTCGGTGCTGACGGTGACTAGGTACAAGGGAATGGCTGCTCCGGCTCCTGGTGGCGGGGCGCAGTCGCCTCGGAAGTCGGTGTCTCCGCAGAATACAGGGTTCTCGCAGATTCAGGCTCGGAATCTGGGTGAGGGCGGCAGCGCGCAGCAGATGAGTGTGTTGCTGAGCTGGCATGAGAGGTTGGTTGAGCTTACGGGTACTGGGTCGATTGTTCGGGTTATGACGGATCGGAGGACGGTTTAAGGGGACAATTTGAATGTCCCCAGATAGGGTGCTTCTTTCTTTTCTACTTGTCTTAGAAGTCGAGCTTGGTTCCTCTGCGTTGCGGACGGGTGATATCCTTGTTAGATTGCGCAGCTTCTATTATACATATTGCCTTTTTCATTCAAGACCGTTCGCTCAAGAACCATATGATTATGGCCGATCGAAGGAACCGCCTCCGAGGATATCCTTCAAGTTAACCTGCCCGCTGCCTCTTTGCAGTGGCTGCGCCTGGCCCTCCCCTTCCTTCCATCCGATCATGTATATCAGCCGGAATGTGGCGGGGATACCCCTCGACCCCTCCTCCTTATGCAGCTCCCGGTAGATCGCCTCGTTGGCCAAGAGCACATCGCGCGAGATAGGGCCCAACTCGCGATGCAAAATGGCATTATTCTCCCCCATCGCCTGAAGATCCTGCATGAGCGCAAATGTGTCCGGGAACTCAACCACGATATCCTCGACGTCCACTGTCAACATCTTGAATCCGGCCTTGTTCAGCAGCCCGCCGACGTCCCGGACATCCGCCAGAGGGGACACATGCGGGCTGACGCCACCCCGCCGCTCGAGGTCCGCCAGCTGCAGCGACGTACGGAGCTCGAATAGTGTGTCGCCGCCGAACATGGCTGCGATGAAGGGGCAGTCTGGCTTAAGGATGCTGTTCACCTGTGCCAGCAGAGAGGGAAGGTCGTTAATCCAGTGGATGGAAAGGGAGGACAGGACGGCGTCGAAGGTGTTGGGTTCGAATGGCAGGGTCTCGAGGTCTGGGACGACCTGCCGCTCGAGATTGATCCCCTTGTTGAAGGGCTCGTCTGCGTCCCGGTAGAGTAGGGCGTGGGACGTGTCGATGCAGGTGAGTTTGGAGATCTTGTCCGCTAGAGGCGGCGATGTCTCGGTGCTGGGGTCCGGGTTTGGTGTTGTCAGAGCGCGAGCGATGTTGCAGCTGTTGGCGCCTAGGTCAAGGACGTGGGGGAAATCTCGTTTAATGTCCTGCAGGGCAGAAGGTTAGCCATATCCTCCAAGGACCAGAGCAGAAGAGCTTGCCAGTAGCCGTTCACACAACCGTGTAGCCACCTCATCCTTGATGTAGTCCGTTTTTCTGCTCTCCTCTACATTCCGGGCTGCGCGATCTCTCTGAAGATGCTTGACTTTTCGGTTGAACACATCAATTACTGGATTGCCCGGTGTCTGGTTGGCGTAGCTCCTCGTTGCAGTGTACGAGGGCTGCGATCGGACCGCTCGCCGGAATATATGGCGGAGTGACATGGTGATCTGCGAGTGCATGAATTGATTGTCGAATATCGAGTCTATAGCATTCCAAAATTTGATATGTATTCAGTTCGAGATCAATTGAGGGAGCTGGAATGTTGCTGATATCGAACAGTCGTTAGCTGTCGGCAGGTGACGTCGATTGTATTTTCTCTGCAGAACTCCGCAATTTCGCGTTGCGACAAAAACATCTGATTTCCCCACGTCTGGTCTCTTGTCTGAATTGAACAACGCAGATGGTGGAGAGTGTCTCGCTGCCATGACTTTTTGAAAAATCTATACGCGTCTGGAGTGATGCTCTTTAGTTGTGAGATCGTCCCCGCTGTGCAATACATAACGCCTACCGACAGTGACAGCTAATCATCACGGAAGTAGACTTCATATCGTACCAAGACGCTCCTGGGATTATGTCCAACTACTCCGTATAAGACACCATTCGGCTCGCGGTCAACCTAATATCATATTGATCACCCCGAGAGAGAAGACCTGCCTTCATCATGTCGCGCCCTTTCCCCTATACCTATATCTCGTGTCCATGTGCGGATACCCCTGTCCCTGACCGTTCCAGGAAACGAAGGTCGCGAGAGTCTCCCACCAAAAAGCCAGAACAGGGAGACCCTTCAACAGCTGCGGATACTGAGGAGGAGGAGGAGGAGGAGGAGGAGGAGGAGGAGGAGGAGGAGCAGACATTCGACCCCCGAGCTCCGCGTTCCAACTTCTCTCTGTATCCTCCAGAACAGCTGCTGTACTGTGAGGACTGCCATCAAATAAAGTGTCCGCGATGCATCACAGAGGAGATTGTGTGCTGGTATTGTCCGAATTGTCTGTTCGAGACGCCGAGCAGCATGGTTCGAAGTGAGGGTAATAGGTGGGTGCCATAAGGTCCTGTTTCGCCAGTAGTTCCCCGCTGAAGAGCTGCTTGCTCCGGTTAGATGTGCCAGGAACTGCTTCAATTGCCCCATATGCACTGCACCTCTTGCAGTCAACACACTCGAGAATGTCACGGGTAGTGAAGGCCAACAAGGACCATGGGTGCTTTCGTGCGCATATTGCATGTGGTCATCTCTGGACATTGGCATCAAATTTGACAAGCCCACAAACATCTGCGCACAGCTTTCCAAGATGACGGATACCACAACCACCCGGGGTAGACAGATGTCCAAAACCGTGGGTGAGCTCAAGTCTCCTTTGTCCACGTTCTCCACCATCGACGATCAATTTCCGGCCCCAGGAGAAAGCAGAGATGGTCAATCTACGCCATCCGGCGACCAGTCTGTGGCTCCTTTGACTTCGGATGCGAGGTTCTCCGCGCTCAAGGCGTTCTACAAAGACCAGATAGCTGCGACGTCCACATCGCCCACAGACCCTCTGGGTACCGACTTTGGACCTGGCTTTGCCTCACCTGGTGCTCTAAACCGTATAATGTCCGTCTACGCGGCATCATCACGGCTCAGCAATCTTTACGGTGGTGCCAACAAGAAATCTAAATCAAAGCCTCCAGTCATGCGAGAAGCTCTGACCGCCAGCGAGGGTCTGAAAGTCCCAGCTCCCGGCGCAGAAGACGCCATCATCCAGCGAATTGCCTCGGAAGAATGTGGCTGGGACGGCCTCGCGTCGATCGAGCAGCGCATGTTCCAGTCCCCCGATGCTCGGTTCGTGGAGGATCTTCTCCCTTTGCCAGTATTACTGCGAACCAAGCGCTCGAAACGCTGCAAGTCGTGCAAGCACATCCTCGTCAAGCCCGAGTTCAAACCTCAGTCCACCCGGTTTCGCATCCGTCTCATTGCCCTTAGCTACATACCTTTACCGACTCTACGACCTCTAGCCCTGGGACCGCCTACAGGCATCCCCGCAATAACACCTTCCACATCCAATTCAACTCCTAACCTGGACGCCCTCCCCCCGCTGAGACCCTTCCAGCTTCTTCTGACCCTCAAAAACCACATGTTCGACCCTGTCCGGGTAACGCTCGCCACGCCCTCAGTAACACCAGGCCGCGTGGCCACAAAAGTCACAATCCTCTGCCCGCAGTTCGACATCGGAGCCAACAGCGACGTCTGGGATGAAGCCCTGCAGGGCACAACAGGAGCGGACCAGCGCTCCTCCCGCTCCGGCGGGCTGAACCTCGGGTACGAAAAAGTAGCAGAGGCGGGCAAAGTCTGGGACAAGGGGCGGAACTGGACGACCGTTGTCCTGGAAGTTGTTCCTGGGACATTACCCGGCGGCAGTCTAGGGACCCGCAGACGGCAATCTCTCGGTGATGATGACGACACGGACGGGGATAGCAGCCACAGCATCGACAATGATGACGAAAATAATAACGGTAACAACAATGCCAGCCTCGACTGGAGCGGACAGGCCAAGGACCCCAAGAACCAGCTCCAGCCTGACGAAGACGTCCTGGAGATCCCGGTCTTTGTTCGTATGGAATGGGACTCGGAGAATCAAATGGAGCAGGCTGCCGGGAAGGGGCAGAACTCCGATACGGTCAAGAGAGAGTTGGCGTATTGGATGGTGTTGGGGGTTGGCCGGATCACGGCAGAACTTGCATAGTTGGTTTTGCTTTCACGTGGATGCACCTATATACTGCGTAGATAGTTTACATACCCATCGTGTTAATCTTTGCGTACATACGGAGTATTTACGGCTGCTCAGGTGTTCATAGTGAAAATACTTTGCTTCCTGTACCCATGCTAGGCCCGGCAACTCGAAAGCGCAGTGCTGGATACTGAGTTACGATGGCATGGAGAGGCGGTCCAGGTTTGAACATGAGCCAAAGCTCCTGCCAGGTTCCGTAAGACGAGGACGAAGTCATGATAGATATATCGGGAGCAAGACGAATGGAAGAAATAAGAGTATTTTTAACCACGCCGGAAAGAAAAGCCTGGAACCAGTAGATCATGATTTTTTTATTATCACATCGCATCCTTTCATTTCAGGAACCTTTATCCTTGTACCCGAGAACCAGATCAAGCTACCCCATCGCAGAAGGGCCATGATGAGAATGCATATTTTGTGCGTGGGAAATAAAAAGTCAACCTTTCTCATTCCTGTCTCTCTTTCTCTCTCGCGAGAACCCGCCCCCCGACACGAAATCCCACCAGGACCCCTCCGTGTGCACTTCGCTTTATTTACCTAAACCACATGATTCTGACAAGGATAAATAAATCTAGTACTCGGCGGCACCGCTCTGGGGGAACTCGAAGACAACAGAGCGGCCGGTTAGTCGGCGGTAAACCTCGCCGTAGGCATCGAGTCTGTGGTCAACACCACCACGCTCCTTCTCGTCCAGGATGACCTTGAGAGTCTTGCTGCCGTCCTCCTTGGTGCGGATACGCTTGCCGACGATCTCGACGGGGTAAACGAGGTCGTTGAGAATGGCGTCGTGGACAGCAGTCAGGGTGCGAGAGCGAGGGCGCTTCTGCTTCTGGTTGGTGCGGGAGTTGACAGAGCGCTTGGGGCGGGGCAGGATGCGGCGCTGAGCAACGAAGAGGACGTGGCGGTCGGAGAACTTCTTCTCGAGCTCACGGGTCAGGCTATACAAATTGCGTGTCAGTTTCTGCAGTTCATCTGCTGTGATGCTGGTTTTCTGGCTGTCATTTCGTACCGCTGCTGGATCTTGTGGAAGCCCTGGAGGAGAGGGACGGGGACGAAGATGATAACGGCCTTCTTGCCGTGGCCGACCTCAACCTGTAGTACCGCGTTAGATGACCTGAGAAAATAGGTGTGCACAAAAAAACTTGTAGAGTCCAGCGCCCATCACACCCCGTATCACCCTTCCACATTGCCATTCTTATTTCCCAGACTGCAAGGAAACGTGCGAAATCTGCCATTGGAACAAGCATGCGCACACAGAGCAATCTCCGCACACAATCCCATCAAGCATATAGGTATACCACAATCGTCCAATATTTAATGTTTTTTTCCCAATTCCTCGCTTCGAAAGAACAATTGCGGTGTAATTGACACTGGACTCATGCGGACTGGAAGAAAAGTAATCAGGCGAGTCTTACCTCACGGGCAGAGACAAACTGCAGGGGCCGAAGGGTGGCCTTCAGGTCCTGTGTGTTGCTCTCCAAGTCGAAGAGAGCGCCGGCGATCGCAGTCTCCAGCTCGGAGGGGTTCTGCCTCGATGGCGAGTTGTGGGCGATCTTGTTGATAGCAGCCATGATTGCAGACGAGCGACGGGTAGCTGGCTGTACTGCTGGTGCTGCTTTCCTTGTCGCGAGGGGAGTTGGTCGTCGAAGGGGAAAATAATCGAGGTTCAGGACGGAGTTCCTACCCTACAATTTGCGCTCGGTCGTGCTGGTGTGGGATCGGAGTCTCGGCGCCTCGCTTAGCGGTATTGCGCTTTACCGTTGTGGGGTTAGCCTCTGGCCACTTAGGGGATCGCTCATCCCGTGACTTTCTTCGCCCTTTGCGCCTAAGGCACTAACATCTGCATAGTATTTACAGGTCATCGACAGGCTACGTAGGACTTCTTGTTAGTTTTGTACATACAGTTGGCGTAGTAGGTTACTCTTAAGGAATTCAATTTTACAGCTCAACAAGTGGACTGTCATAATATCCACATTCGACTAGAAAATACAACGTTCCAGAATCAGGTTCACACTGGCTCAAACACAACACACTGGGGATCAATAGGAAGTCACAGTCCGAGGACATTCGGAAGATGAACAAGAGTAAAAAAGAGAAAGAGTTCCAAGCAGTCACGGAGTAATGCAGGAAATGAAAGAACACGCCTTGAACTATTAGGACAGGTTGCATGCATTGGAATCAGGCCGATCCTGCTTCAAGATCGCACTAATCTCTGAACTGAAAGCTATGGCGCTTACAGCATTATATGCGTATTTAGGGAAAGAAGGAAATGCTGACAGAAGAAGGATCAATTTAACAGGCGCAGCCTTCCTTGGCTGTAGCAGCGGCTCGATCTCCAAGATTGACTCTCGTATCGTCTGCGGGACGTCCAGCACCCAGGGCAGTTTGACCGGTTCCCG